ATCATGAGAATACCAAACTCTCCCTTAATCAAGAACATAAATTCTCACTCTTGTAGAATGTTTTCGAGGAGATTGGCCAAGAAAGTAACTTATTTACTCTGCCAAGCGTGGAGGCAAAAACTCCGCATGTGAGGTCCTGGAACATAATCAAACATGATACCTCCATTGCAATCTCTCTCGAATCCTTAACAACATTGGAGGTCAAGCACAAAGAAGAAGACAAACTCGCTTGTTGAAAAATGTGAAACTAAAACCACTAACATTCGACCTTGACTAACTGGGATGAAATCCTTCACTCTCTCAAAGAAATATTGATAGAACCCCCAAAGATCAAATGATGCTTACAATCATTGTTGGGATTAAAGTCACTAAACATGCTATTTGCTCGCATATCCTAGTTCCTTTGATATTAGATCAATAATTGAGAGTATTTCTTGTGTTTTTATTAGGAATAAAGCGGCTTGTCCATATTAGAGTAGATTGCTCGTTTTATCCACCTCAGGTGAAGGTGGAAATAATGAACCAACTTTGTATATCTTTTCTCGCCTTAACAATCATAGTTTTTTGCTTCTCTTTCAAAAAACGACAAAATGCTTATGGTAGATCTGGAACCTACCAACAAAAACGTCATTCATCATAACTTTATGGAAACTTCACAAACTTACCTAGCATTCATGAAAATCTCTAGAGAAAACAAACCTAGAGTGTTTTTGTCTTTGACTCATAACAAATTATTCTCTTAAACAAAACTCAAGATATAGGGCGAATGTTTAGTAGTGATTATCCCCAGTTTCTTAACTAAATTTCACAGAATAAGATTCTTCACTACCTAAAAAAACATAGGACAGTACGTCGTTGACAACGGTTCATTCGGCCCGGCTCACCCGACCGCCACCCTTTTTATGGCCCGACAGAACAGGTTCGCGGAACCGAAACAGATCGCGTAGCGAAACAGGAACGGGCGGAACGGACCGAGGGTTTCGTTGGGAGAGCGAGTAAAGTTTCGTTTTCCATATTTAGTAAATAATCTTCTTCGATCGTAAGATCGATCATTCCTTTCTTTCTCACAGCTTTAAAGAAGTATGATTTGGGAGACTGCATCGAGGGGAAGAACGACTCGAAGAGAAAAATAAGGGAAAATAAGGTTAGTTGACATTCTTTCGGATTTTCCTATAAAAATTCCTTTACCTACTTCAATTTAAAGTAGCAATATATTCTTGGAAGGTTTAGGAAGGGATTGAAGCGAGGAAAAAGGAATTACGGAGAGAAGGATTTTGAGAATTTGAGAAGTTCCATTGCAAACGTTGGTAAAAGTGAATTCCCTTCCAATTTCATTTTAATGATATTTAGAAATTAAATCAAAATAATAGTGATAGAAAGTTATGTTGAATTTTAGAGAATTAGAAGTGAAAGATCAGTGTAGGTCTGTTGAATCCCGCGAGATTCAACAGAAAGAGAAATGAATTCAAAGAAGAATCAAGCAGTCGAAGACCTGCAAGAGTTCAGTGCGGTACAAATTATATATAATTTTATGTTTTATTAATGATTTCTTTTTATATATTGATTAAATATTCTTATTTATTACGTTGAAGGCCGTTTATGTTACCTCTTAAGAAAGAACTATATTTACTAAGATTAAAGGTTTGGAAAAGAAAGAATTACTTTATGCAAATGCTTCGTTAATTTAATATATAAATAGAAATAATCAGTGAAAATGAGAAAAGAAAGAACAAAAAAAAAAAGTGAGACACAAAGGAAAGCGTATTGAAATAACAGATCACCCTCATGGGTACTGGCTGGACGCCGACTCGTGCACGAAAGGAAAGGACATTTCTATTGGAAAGGGGAAAAGGAAATCAATTGGAAAAGGTTGTTACCTTTGTACTTTAAGACGGTGCTCCCTGCATAAATCAAATTGGGAAGGAAATGTAAATATCTCTCTCTTCTTGG